TGGCTCGTTTACTGGATGCTGCTTCTGCTTCTGCTTCTGCGTATTGGCTCGTATTTGGATGCTGCTTCTGCTCCTGCTTCTGCGTCTTCGCTCGTTTACTGGATGCTGCTTCTGCTCCTGCTTCTGCATATTGGCTCGTTTACTGGATGCTGCTTCTGCTCCTGCTTCTGCGTCTTGGCTCGTTTACTGGATGCTGCTTCTGCTTCTGCATATTGGCTCGTTTACTGGATGCTGCTTCTGCTTCTGCTTCTGCGTATTGGCTCGTATTTGGATGCTGCTTCTGCTCCTGCTTCTGCGTCTTCGCTCGTTTACTGGATGCTGCTTCTGCTCCTGCTTCTGCGTCTTCGCTCGTAGTTGAATGCTGCTTCTGCTTCTGCGTCTTTGTGTCTGGATTCAACAACAGATCCTGACAGGCTGCGTCGGCCTGGCCCCCGCGCAGCCGCAAAAGCGCCTTGCCAAGACGATCCTGCGGTAGCTGAGATGGGGTATACCTGCAAGCTGCTTGTGGCAGTTGCCGAGGATGAGGGGAGCGGCTGCGAGGCTAGACTGATTGATCTCAAGCCTGATCAAGTATTGCCTCCCGATATTCCGCCGCAGACGCGCGTCAAGGACGCGTGTCCAAAGACTTGCAATGCATGCGACGGTACGGCAGCAGTCGCTACAAAGCTCCTGCGTCGGGGTCTGTTTTTTCCTCCCTTCTCGAGGCAGCTGCCTCGGCAAGGCACTCCTGTCTGCGCCGTGCATAGGCCGCTTCAGAGCTTCGCTTGTGCCGTGCGAGAGACTGTCTGCCCCGTCGCTCCCAACAAAAGCCCGCAAAAGAGAGAGACTCCACGGCTGACGCTGGCGTGTGTATTTTCCACCGCAGTGGGTCGTCTGCAGTGAGACTCTGCGTTTTGGGGAGTGAAAAAGAAGCGTGCTTCTGCGCCGTCGAGGCTGCGTGAAAAAATCCGTCTGAAAATGCATTTGCGCTCGCCGATGTGTCCCTTGCAGACCCCACAAGACTGCAACGACCAGCCAACCCTCCAGGTGCCACATGCACTGACTTCGAGTTTGTGGAAGACTCCGGATCCTCCTGCAAGCTGCTGCTGACGCTGGCGCAGTCTCAAGATCTTGGAGGCTGCGAGGCGCCTCTCGCCTCTCTGCTAGAAGAAAGACACTGGCCTCAAGGCACTCCTGCTGACGTCGCTCTGAGAGACGCTTGCCCCCACACATGCGACTTCTGTGAAGGTTAGCTTTAAGAAAGCCTCTCTAAGCGCATGCACGCAGCCTCGAGGGCATATTCCCCCCTTCTCCCCGCCTTGCAAGGCACAGACACAGACCAGACAGAGCATCGCGACGCTTTTTCCCCCCTCCCCTCCCCCTTCTCCCCCGAGGTTATGCAGGAGTGAAAAAGAGCAGAAGAAGAGAGACAAAAAACAAGGCACCCCCCCCTGTGCATGCTGCCTCGGGGTGTCTCCTTCTTTGAGCGCTTGTGTACTGACACCTCGCCTCCACGGACGACTCAAATAGGAGCTTCTACTAGACCGCTAGAAATCAGTTGCAGAAACAATCCGTATGACTTCTTCTCCTTCTCTACAGCTCTCTGGCGTTCCTGACTCTATGAATGCACACTTGTGGTTTGCCGCAGAGTCAGTGCTCATGCGGCTCCGTTCTCCCGTAGAAGACGATACCAGCTGCATCGGCGGATGCTGCGATAACAAGATGGTGGAACAGGAAACAGGTGACCCTCGAGTTTTCGGAATACAGAAATGCGCAGCGACGCTTGAAAGAGAGAGAGAGTCAGAGAGTTAAAGAGAGAGAGAGTTAGAGAGAGAGACAGAGAGAGAGTTAAAGAGAGAGTTAGAGAGTTAAAGAGAGAGAGAGAGAGTTAAAGAGAGAGAGAGTCAGAGAGTTAGAGAGAGAGTTAGAGCGTTAGAGAGTTAAAGAGAGAGAGTTAGAGCGTTAGAGAGTTAAAGAGAGAGAGAGAGAGTTAGAGCGTTAGAGAGTTAAAGAGAGAGAGAGAGAGTTAGAGAGTTAGAGAGAGAGTCAGAGAGTTAGAGAGAGAGAGTCAGAGAGTTAAAGAGAGAGAGTCAGAGAGTTAGAGTTAAAGAGAGAGAGAGTTAGAGCGTTAGAGAGTTAAAGAGAGAGAGAGAGAGTTAAAGAGAGAGAGAGAGAGTTAAAGAGAGAGAGAGAGAGTTAAAGAGAGAGAGAGTCAGAGAGTTAGAGAGAGAGTTAGAGCGTTAGAGAGAGAGTTAAAGAGAGAGAGAATGAGATTAGAACTTGAGGCTTTAAAGAGTTGGGGTGCAGCAACTGCAGCAACTGCAGCAACTGCGCAACTGCAGCAAGTGCACTACCAGAACCACCGCAACTCTTGACTGCCTCTTACTCTGGATAGAGCATCTTCTTTCGGTTCTCACGCTGCTGTGGCGTTCCTTCAGGCTACACCTGCCGACAGATAAAAGACTTCCTTAACGGAGACTGTTCGGTTGAGCTCGAGTCTCTCTCGAGCACCCCACTGCCTGCAGAAGTTCCCAAAGGCGCTACGCTGCGAGATGCCTGTCCATACACGTGTGGAGCCTGCCCAGCGCAGCAATGCGTAGACAACCCCTTGGTGAAGCAAATGGGGTACTCCTGCGACATGCTGATTGCTGCAGCGGAGGGAAGGGGAGGCTGTGAAGCTCTGCTCACCTCGCTCAGCGGAGAGGTCTTGCCTGCAGGCGTTCCCCCCACCACTCGCGTGCGAGACGCCTGCCTCAAGTCTTGCAATGCGTGCCCACCCCTTGTTGGGGGTTCTAGTGGAATGCCTGGCACCACTGCTGCTTTTTCTGCAAGCGGCGGTGCCACTTCTGCAGCAGCAGACTGCTTCGATGATGGCCGTCTCCCGCAGTTGGGATACTCCTGTGCGATGCTCCTGGATTTCGCGAGCAAGGGCTGTGAAACGACGCTCGGAGAGCTGCTGCCGCAGTCGCTCTCGCTGCCGCGCCACTTTCACCGCCACGACATGATCAAAGATTTCTGCCCCAAGACGTGTGGACTCTGCGGAGCCTCCGAGGCGGGAGGAGGGAAAGACGCAGCAGCGTCGGGGAGACGTCGAGGCTGTCGAAACAACCCTATGGTCGAACGGGCAGGCCTTAGTTGCGCGCTTCTCGTGAAAGCCTCGCCTCTCGGCTGTAACGCGAAATTGGCTGAACTCAGCGACGATCCGCTGCCAGCAGGAGTACCCCCGAGCACCACTGTGCGAGACGCGTGCATGCTGGACTGCGGGGGATGCATCGACATTCCTACCTGCTTTGACGGCTTCCAGAACGGGGACGAAGAAGGCATCGACTGCGGAGGACGCTGTCGCGCTTGTGCGCCTTGTGATCCATCGTCTCTGAAGGCACTCGGAGAGAGGGGAGTCGTGCAGGAAGGGCGTGGAACTGCCCATGGCGCAGTTCGCAGACTTTCCTGCCGTCCAGACTTGATTCGCGTTGCTGGAAGAAACGGAGAAGAAGTTATTTGCCAAGATGGAGCTTTCAGCAAACCAAAACTCCGCTGCGAAGCCAGGACCGTCGCTGTTCACTACTTGAAGGCGCACATCAAAAATGCAGGGGTGCTAACAAACACTCAACAGGCACTTCCCTCTATTCGAGCTTTACATGCACAGTGAAGTTGCGAGTTGCAAGCTCTGCTTCTTTTTCTCGTCTGCCACCGGTGTTGGAAGGGGTGTGTATGTCTTTGTGTGTGTGTATGTCTTTGTGTGTGTGTATGTCTTTGTGTGTGTGTGTGTGTGTATGTGTGTGTGTAAACGTGTATTGTTGTGTATATATGTATGTATGTGTGTGTTTGTAAAATGTATGTTTGTGCATATATACATGTATGTGTGTGTTTGTAAAACATATGTTTTTGCATATATATATACATGTATGTGCGTATTTGTAAAATATATGTTTTTGCATATATATATGTATGTGTGCGTTTGTAAAATGTATGTTTGCGCACATATACATGTATGTGTGCGTTTGTGTATGTTCGTGAGTCTCTTTGCATGTTTGTGCATATATATATATATATATATATATATATATATATATATATATATGTGTGTGTGTGTGTGCACGTGTGTGTATTTTGCGTGTTTGTGTGTGTATATGTTAGTTTGTTTGTGTTCCTCTCTCTGTGTATGTTTGTGTACGATTGTAAATGTTTGTGTATGATTGTGTTTGTGTTTGTTTGGGTGTGCATGTGAATGTGATTTTTGTGTGTATGCTTATATGTATGTGTTTTTTTGTGTGTTTTTGTGGGTATTTGTGTGTCTCTCTAACCCTCTCTTTATCTGTCTATCTGTGTCTCTCTGAATATGTATATGTACATACATCTTTTTGTGTATTTCCCTCCTTTTCACAGGGGCGACTTCCGCTGCTTCTTGCTTTGTCGGTTGATCCGTTGCTGCAGGATCTACAGTACGGAGCTGTGCCTGCAATTTTCGGAGCACTATCCTCAGCACTGAGGATATATCCTCCTGACGAGTTGCGTCTGCTGGCAATAGGCCTTGAACGGCGTGCTGAAGGATCTGAAGGTTCTCAAAGATGCGAAGATGATCCCCGAGTAGCCGACATGGGCTACAGTTGTGCAATGATGGAGGCCTTTTGCGATTCTAAACTTCACGATCTCGCGGCTGCGCAGAAGAAGGAGCTGCCGGATTGGCTTCCAAAGGAAGCACGCGTCAGAGATGCATGCAGGAAAACATGCGGGGCATGCGGTGGGTTTTTTCTATTAAGATCGCTGCCTTAAGAAGTCGCAAAAAAAGTCCTTCTGTTGAGAAAGGCTGTTGTGTGCTCTATTCGTGTGCCACCTTAGAGGCCTTCCTTTAGATGCATTTTTGAAAACTGTATGTACATGTGTGTAATGTGTATGTATGTAATGTGTATGTATGTAGTGTGTATGTGTATGTATGTAGTGTGTATGTGTATGTATGTGTGTAATGTGTATGTATGTAGTGTGTATGTATGTAATGTGTATATATTGTGTATGTAATGTGTATGTAATGTGTATATAATGTGTATATAATGTGTATATATGTGTATATAATGTGTATGTATGTGTATATAATGTGTGTGTAATGTGCATGTATGTGTATGTCTGTGTGTATGTAATGTGTATGTATGTGTATATAATGTGTATGTAATGTGTGTATAATGTGTATGTATGTGTATGTCTGTGTGTATGTAATGTGTATATAATGTGTGTGTAATGCGTATGTATGTGTGTATATACACTTGCTATGATAACTTGATTGCCACTCCTGCTCCTTGGAGCTGCTGCCTGCATGCTGCCTGCTAGGAGCAGGCTTCCTCTGTAAGTTGAATACGTGTCACGACGTCGTGCTGCTGCCGCAGTGTCCTCCTTCCCTACGCGTGTATACATTTTTTGCAGATACTCGACGGAGGCGGTTAGAGGCTGTCTCTGGATCTGCCGTTTCCTCCTTGCCTCTCCTGATCGACGCTGCGGTTCTCTGGACGCGAGCGGCAGTCCCCTTCTCGAGCACCCTCACGGAAGACTTTCCTGCACGCTTTCTCGCCGCTTTGAAGCAGCAGTTCATTCAACGAGGCGTCACCTTAATAGATCCTGCCGATAAGTCCCTTATTTCAGCGGCAACGGCGCTCACGTCACGGCCTTTCCTCTTTGCTGTCGAGAGCGCAGAGCAGAGAAAGCTGCCTGCAGCGACATGGGAAGCTGGCTTCGGCTCCTACTCCCCCGCTTCGCATTCCAAGGCTGTCTTCGCGGCTGCTGGTTTGCCCCTGCCTTCCTCGCAGCCTCTGGAGCTTCAGCATCTTCTCGCCAAGGACGGGAGAACGCGTGGACCACCCCTATACGCCTCAGTCGATTACTCCTTCGGGGAGGAAGACGCTTTGCGTCTTCCACTTCCCCCGTGGATCGATGCGCTGCAAGGGGCCTGCTTGGATCCGCTCAGTCACAGAGGTGATAGCAACAGCTGCTGCGGCATTCAGGAGGAGCTTCAGGTGAGGCTTTTGCGTTTTTCTTGCCAAAAAGAAGCAACACAGTGGAGCTTCTTGGCCTCTCCAGCGCGTCCTCTCGCACGACTTCTCTCATTTACCTGTGCTGCCTTCCGAGTGCAGCTAGCGCGGAGACAGAAAACGTAGAATTCTCTCCCCCTTGAACCCTTCCTTGCCTCTCTATTTAACAAAGAGGAAGCGGCAAAGGCCACAGCTAATCCCGAAAGACGTGAGGGAAGGCTTTTTTTTCCAAAGTCTCCGCTTCAAACAAAAGCGGCCTACAGAGAGGCTTTTTGCCCAGTGTGTGTATGCTGTCGCCGTGCACGGCTGTGTTCTACGTGGCATGCGCGAATGCTCTGCAGGTACTTCTTGACGGCAGCTGCGGATCTCTTTTGTATGGGCGGAGACTGACTCAGGAAAGCGTTGCCTCCTTCTGCGAGAAGCCTGTAGAAGGCCGTTACTGCTGGTCCGCCTTTGTTGCTCGCTTGGACGCTCACAGGCAGCGCACAGGAGCTGCCTGCGAGCTTCTTCGCGCGGTAGAGGCTGTGACGGAGGCGTGGTGTTACAAGGATCCCACCAGCACGAATCCTGGCAAGTACTGCTTTGCGGCAGTGGAAGAGGCGCTTGAGGCTTCGGATCTTCGATCTCTAGGAGCCAAGTCGTCGACGCAGCTAGATGAGCTGTGCGGCTATCAGAGCTGTTTCAGAAGCAATCTCCGATACATGGACAGCATGACGCTGCTCCAAGCAGCCTGGCACGTGCTTCACACCCCACCGGAAGGCGAGCAAGAGGCGTCTCCGAAAGCGTCGTCGTCCTCACATGCGGTCGCTCGGGGAGGATCCACACGGGCCCTTCCTGCACCCCTCCTCGCGCGCAGGCTGCATGCAGCGGATCATGCTCTCTCCTCGATTCAACGACGCAGTGAAGGGCTCTACCACCACACACGCCGCTTGCAGGAAGCTCGCGACTACGCGAACCAGCAATTGTGGGGAGCCGCAGACGCTGCAGCCCATTTCAGCGGATTGCAGCAAAACACCGACAAGAGTACCCGGTCGGTGACTGCAACGCACCAAGACGCCTCCCTTCGCCCCCTTTCCCCCACGCATGCGTCTCCCGCGCCACGCAGGAGACTTGGCACGCTCTCCAGATTCCAGGGACCTCTCACGGAGACTCTTGAGGAAAGCCTCAACCTGGTGTGCACCAAAGTGGAGGGAGAGTACTGCCAGCAGACGCTCGTCCTGCTGGCGCAAGAGAGCCCAATACGCACCCCCTCGTTGCTGCTAGAGCCGTGTGCCAGTCGCTGTTTCGTTCCCCTCACGGGAGCTGTGGGGGCAATCGTGGAAGCCTACGGAGAGCGACACAGGGACCCTTGGCATGCCTTGCTAGGAGCAGTCATGCGCGCCTACGGCCGCTTTTATTGCGTCAAAAACGAACGAGGAGACGTCTGTGGGCGCCACTTCTTCGACAGATACAAGGCTGCAAACCCCCACAAAGTCGCTGCCCAAGGACTAGAACTCCCCCTTCCAGATTGCCAGTGCCCTCATTCTTTTCTGCAAGTGAGGCAAACATGCAGGCAGCCAGCCAGCCAACCCTCCAATCCACCTCTTCTCTACCTCCCTTCTACCTCTCTTCCATCTCCCTTCTGCCTCACTTCTACCTCTCTTCCATCTCCCTTCTCTTATACCTCTCTTAAACCTCTCTTCCATCTCCCTTCTCTTCCACCTCTCTTCTACCTCACTTCTACTTTTCGTCCCCTCTACCTCCCTTCTACCTCTCTTCTACCTCCCTTCTCTTCTACCTCTCTTCTACCACTCTTCTACTTCCCTTCCACCTCTCTTCTACCTCCCTTCTCTTCCACCACTCTTCTACCACTCTTCTACCTCTCTTCCAGCTCTCTTATACCTCTCTTCTACCTCCCTTCCACCTCCCCTCCCTTTTCCCTCCCCCCTTTTCCCCCCTCATTCTATGAATATACCCGCCTCGTACGCAGCTCGAAAAACATCACAAGCCATGGATACAAAAAAACGCACCAAGGAGGGCCTGTACTGGGGTGTATGTATGTGTATGTATGTGTGTGTATGTGTATGTGTGTGTATGTGTATGTGTGTATGTTTGCTTCGCGCGTATTTCAAAAAACAAAATTCTCAGGACGGACAATGCGACCCAGAGTGCTTCAATGAGGCCTGCGGATGGGATGGGAAGGACTGTCTCCCTTCTTCAATGTTTGCACAGCTCCATGCCGCTGTCTCTTCCCTCGTGGAACCTACATGCAGCCTTTACCACCCCGACTTTGAGTGCGGCTCCAAATGCTTCAAACAGTACGAGACAGCAAGAGGCCTCGGGGGAAGCGGCTGCTGTCTCGGCATGGGATTGGATATTTTAGGGGCCGTAGCTGCAGCCGAAGCAGCACACCCCCTTGGAGAGGTCCCTTGGAAAGCTCGTCGAACAGTAGCCTTCGCAGAACAAGTGTGCGGGGCAGCTGCTGACAGAACCTGCAGTCTCGGGGAGCCACGGCCGCTGCTGCATGTTGAGCTGCGCGTTGTCGGACTGAACTCCCACGTGACACTCACGGATGCGGGTAAGATCGACGAAATCTTCCGATCTCTTGGAGCCAGTCTCACACGGAGGCTTGGCTTGGTCGACAGAGACATTGCAAGGCACTTTGCGCGGCTAGATCCCGCTGGAATCGCCATCGAGTTCGTGCTCGACGCTGGAAGAAGCTATGCGGCTAGAGTTGCCCAGCTGCTTCGCCAGCCGGTAAGCAGCTCTGAGCAGACACATGCACTGTGGTCTTTCCCTCCGCCTCTGTCTCTCTCTGTCTCTCTCTGTCTTCCTCCGCTCCGAAAGTGCCTCAAGAAGGATGTTCTCTGGAACCCTGCCAGCCGAGGCCTTTCTATTTTAATGCCTCTTTGGCTTTTTAAAGGGGATGTAGGCACCCTGTTGTGGCACAGGTTTGTTGCAGCAGCACTTAGGGTGTACAGCCGCCGCCCTGGCGTTCCCTTTGTTGCCTCCTGAGAGACGATCTTTATTCGTGCTGGAGACAAAAATTGCGCTGCTTCTCGTCAGACGCTTGAACCACCTATTCGCATGCGTGTTTTCGACGCAGCCGCTCATAAAGGAAATAGAGGCCTCTGCTTTGCGCCAGCTGGGCCTTGTGTCTCTAGCCGCCTATTTAGATCCAACAAACGGCCTTTTGGGGGTAGAGTATATTCCGGAGTCTCTTCGCGAAGAGCAGATCACCTCGCCTGCCGCAGGCCTTGGTCCCCCCCCTCCAAAGCGAGGTGATGAGGGGTTGCAAGAGCTGCCGCTGCACATACCTCCGGAGTCTTGCTCCGAAGACTCTCTGTTTGCTGCCCTAAATCGGCGATACGTCGCTTTGGGGAGGCCAAAACTGTCGGAGAGGGGGAGCGCAGAAGCGGTGATGGTGACATGTGGAGCTGGATTCGCTCCTGTTCGAGGGGAAGCTCCTGGATCGGATCAGGCCGTCTGCGACGATGGCAAATGGATCTTTGAGAACGGTCTCGACTGTCGACGCACTTGCGCAACTCGTCCCGAAGTCGCTCTGCAGCCTCAAGGGGCATATGCGTTTTCTCCCGCTTCTTGGGGTTTTCCAACTCAAATGCCAGCTCGCTCGCTGCAGGCTTCTAGGGGGATCGAATCCTACGCCGACACACTGCCTGCTACGACAGGCAGCAGCCTCGCCCAGGAGTTTCCGCATGCCACTGCCCTCTTCGTGCGGTGTGCAGACGGATTCGCGGCGGGAAGGGGCCAAGAAGGGGCCTGGCTTGCATGCAGGGATGGCGAGTGGAAATTGGAAAGGCCCTCCTTCAGCTGCCACAAGCTCTGTCCAGACTTTCAAGAGCTAGGTCATGCGTACGTCGTCACGGGGGAAGGCTTGCATCAAGGGAACGAACGCTACGTGTCGTGCAGCCGCGGTTTTTACCCGCAGAGGAAGACACATCGCCTCGTCTGCTCGGAGGGAAGCTGGCCAGCTCTTCCCTTCACGTGTTCGCGAGCCATGACTCCTGATCTAAGAGAAGGCATCGGAGGGTTCCAGAAAATACTGCAGCAGATGTTCAGTCGGGAAGGCATCCTTGGATTCATCGCCTTCTCGATTCTCGTCCTAGCAGCAGCCCTTATCGTGATGCTCTGCTGGCTATTCCGCTGTCGGGGCCGTGCTCTTCGCCGACAAAGAGAGCGAGCCGAGGCTATGAAAGCTCTCAAACTCTCTGGTATCTCCATGAGCGAACTTGCTGTCATGGCGTGGGAGCAGCGCTCTGTGCCCACCGGTTCGTCCTGCTCCTCGCATGCGGGGGACAAAAGCTACTTGTCTTCCCTTCGTCGTTCGCACAGGGAGCACAAAGGCAGAAAAAAGAACGCCAAAAGCGACTGCAACACAAGCAACTGCCAGGAAATGGTAGACTTGAGCCGTCGTATACCAGCAAGGCCTCCTGGAGATGCTGTCGTCCCCCCTCCAAGCGAGGGAGGACGAACAGGACGCTGCATGAGCCAAAAAGACACTGATGAGTCAACCCCCGTTCCCCAGTGGCTTGCAGAGGAACGAGTATTACCCGCCCAGGCCTTCAGAAGGGCACCAGATCCCAGATGCTATTCTGCTGCCCCCTCCACATTGAGCAGCTTGAACAGCACTCGGGGTTTCTCTATGTCCAGCAGCTGCGGTACCACTACGGCTAAAAACCAGCTAGCAACCTCGATCTCCGGAGCGTCGCACGGAGCCTCTCTGTTAGAACTCGACGCGGAAGTGGAGCTCTTGAACAGCAGGGACGAGGAAGCAGCGATCGCATCTCTTCATGTGACCAACGCTACACGCAGCCCCCATTCGAATGATCCAACAAGCAACAGAGACAATTAGCGTCCATATGGGACAAAAAGGGGCCGTGCATGCATCCCCAAAGTCTGGTTACGTAACATGAGGGAAGGCTGCAGGGGGCACAGATATTTGTGCCATTAGGACGTATGTTCGGTTGAATCGCTTTCAGCAATGCCCAACGGGCACTGTATGAGGGCGCTCTGGCATTGCTAGGCAGGAGGAAGACAGCTTTGCGTCCAAGCTAGGTACCTCACTCAAGATCCAGGAATGGCTTTTCTTTAGAATTGTGATGACTTATGATGAAGATTAATACTCAATGCTCAGGCCCTAGCTTTTCACGCAATCGAGAATGCATGCTGCAGCCATTCCTTCGTAGTGCTTCATCGAGTTCCTTAATTTTATGGATACATGATTCATCGCTTTTCATATCTGAATCTGGGCAGCACAATATAGAGCAGAGGTATTATTGGTTGGGCCCGAAAAATTGCCAGTTAAAAACTTTACGTCATATGAGGCTAGAATGGAATGCCCGCGCAACAGGTCATACAGTTTTCCGAGGTGTGGGTAGGAGCTTCAGCGTCGGATAACGTTAAAAGTGAAAAGTCAACCAATTATTGCCAGATTAGCACTGAGTCGCTGGAAGCAGCCTTCATATTGGAGCGAGACCCGCCTAACGAGAGGCTATGCTGTTTCTTTTCCAGTTCCAGGCTGAGGGCTGCAACCTCTGCTCTACTTCCTTAGCAAATAGGGAACGTGCTGACGCTTTATGGATAACACACTTACACGGCAGGGGTCAGCGAAAATCCATTATGCCTTAACTGCAGGCATTTTTCTGGTGTAGCCTTCCGGGCTGTGTGCGCCAAAATGAGGAGCCTGACCACTGTGAGGACCACACAGTGCTTATAGAGGGAATTGATTCCCTACTCTTCAGAGCTCCACCTTTACGCTTTGGCATCGGGATTTAGTTTCAGGACTGATGGCTTGAAGTTAAGCATCACCTGGTACCATCGCTGACCATCCCCTTCTTTTTCGTCGGCCGTTGCCGTCAAGCGAAGGAAGCGGGGCGGCTTGTTCATTCTCATCGTGTACCATGTCTGCCCACTTCTTGCCGATTCTACAAAAGCCGGAGGAACCCCAGCGCTATGATCGATAAGGGTTCCTTCTAGGTTTGCTCCACTTCTTTGGGCACTCCGTAAAACAAGTCCCAAGGCGCCCGGAGAGACATTGCAAGCTGCGAAAATAGATACTGCGGCCCAGAGTTGCCACCATAACGCGGAACGTCTCAGGGCACATAGCCGACGGTGCCCGTTTGCGAGCGCTGATGAGTCCTTCGGCTTCATTTTACGGGAGGGCTTGAAGAGGCCCCCCAGACTTGAGGCGGTCATAATCCAGGTCAAAGATTGAAAAAAGCCTATATGGTATAAATAAGGCGTTCAGCGTTTTACAAATCGTGCTGTCTTGGCGAAAGCTGCAGCTGTGCACGGTTCTTCTACACAAGTTTGTTACAAGCCACTGGTAAAGACCGTCACGAAGATCAACAGATTTGTGCAGGGGAATAGCTTGTATCTCTTATCATTCTGTTCTGCGTAAAAAATATAATGTGTAAAATATTTTCCGTAAACAAGCGAAGGCAGAAGGGCAGACAATGATTGCAAGGGCCCAAATGTGTTGGTACAGGGTCTCGGAGTGCTGCTGCCGAATCATACCTTCCGTATGCTACGGCGGATTATAATGTTATCCTTCATAGCCATTTGAGCAAAAATCATAACAGTAATTTTTGATGCATGACTACTAAATACTTGCGCAAGTATTGGCAAGTTTCTTGCCTCTTTGACGACTGAATCAACTTTCATGAAGGTAAACCGAGGATACATAGGCAAAAACGTGGGGGAATCATAAGGCTACGCGCGCGCTTTGCGCTCCTTCCTTGAGAAAAATTAAGATGTAATTTTTAATTGATATAACCTCTACTGAGACTTCGGAACAGTTATGACAGTGGCCGCCCAGGTCCGGAGAGCCTCCTGTGGTCAAGGATAGCATAATAAATTATCGTTTTTGTTGCAGAAATGCCTACCAATATAAAATATGAAGTGTAGAGGAGCTATGACCTCTATCTAGTCGAGTTCGCACTGGAAATGGTGCCGGAGCTCCCGTTTTGCTGTCTCCAGACGAAAGCATTTAAAAACCCTAGATATAAAATGCATTTGAGGTTCAAATCCAGGCAGCAGATCACTCGACCTGAGACAATAGTGCGGTCTTGTATGCAAAACCGCAGTACGCTCCACACTTAATCAGGTTCAAGGAGCAAAATCAAGTATAGCTTTAGCAGAAGTGGGCCAAGCTCCACGTAAGCACTACCATACTACTAATATCAAGCAAGGTTTGTCGACATCGACAGAAATAGTTTTCTTTTTTGTATAATCTCATTTCTGCATAATGGGGCTTACTTTATTCAGCTATGATTGGTGCAGTGTGTCCATTGCCAAGTTTGTACATGTAGCCGGCTATGTAATGCTCCAATCAAGGTATTTGCAAGGAGACAGTGAACTCTAGACGCAATTCAAACTTGAGAAACGGCTACTGAGCAATATTTAAAGGAAAACCCTTCTTTTCATGTCCGCTCTCCCCCAAGTTTCCAACATGTAGGGAGAGGGACATTTAAGGTACGAGTACCTCCACCTGCCAAGCACCCCGAGCAATAACAGCTAGTTTTACACAGCATCTAACGCACACACACTCACAGACACGACGCCGCGTCTTGTTATATTGAAAGTACTGTGCTCCGCAACAAATCATGTATACTAACACGCAAACCGATTCGCCAATTCTTTTAATACATATTTGAATATAACGATTGTAGCGAAGATTAAAACGCAGCTTAGCCAGCTACAACTGCGGAAGCATTAGCATGCTTTTTGCTTCTTCGACAAACTAAGCAAACTCCATGAAGGATAGGCAGAGGATATACGCACAAATATGTGGGAATCATGAGGCGGGGTGCATGCTTCATGATCGTGCCAATACCAAGTCAAGATCTGTGGAAAAGTCTTTATTCCGTCTACAATTGGAGCTGCAGGAGAATCTATGTAACCTTACCAGTCCTTTTAGAGTACATGCTGAGAATCACATATGAGAATGCAATAGCAACGGTGCCTGAAGCCCAAGATTTTTTTAGGAACGTCAATTGCGGATAGCGCCAGCAATATGCTTGGCTTTGTATATGAACCTTGCAACTAGTGTCATCCCACTTGCAATGTTAAGCCAATATCGTATCTGAGCTAAGTTCTGTATTAGAGCCCTTACATCGATGCTTGTAGGGTGGGGCCGCGTCACTAGTGGGGAAAGTATGGAGTGGGAACTCACGAATGGGCAAAAGGCATTGTGTATCCCTCTAAATGTTACACGACTCTCCAACAAGCCGAATATACGGCTTATAAAGAAGCGAATAATCCTCTCCACCAGGTTTTTTGCGATCTTGTAGCTCTGTGGAACGCTGGGCTGCACAGGAATTACTACACATGCAGTGAAGCGGCTGTATTCAGGACTACTGGCACCTTAGAGCTAAGTTCAATGGCATATAATATTCTCCACTTGACTTAAAATTCCGTATCCTGCAGATTATTAGCTTAATTTGTGTTTAGCACTCACTAGTGTGCTGCGCAGCGCTCCTGATATGGGCGTATCAGATTCTGAAATTCTCAGCGTCAAGCTACAGGATACAGCGCTGCCGCCCAATCGGTAAGAACACTTTCCAGCTCAAACTCCTAATAAATAGTGAGGGCGTCCAGACCATATAGCAGTATCCTCAGAATACGAATTTTCTCTCCGTACTCTAGAGCCTTGACAAAGCCCCCCAAAATGTCTAATCGCTAATATTTAGAAGAAACCACGAGACATTAGTAGAACATATTAGCTAAGGGTCGCCACTAAAATAGATTACGGTGCGCACTACACTGGGCGAGGGCAAAGATGAGGAATACGGCACCCCACATATGCAATACAACCTAATACCGCATGGAAATTCCATCAAAAATGCATATCTTAATGAATGTGCTTTTAAAAATGTGAATAACCCTGTAATTCCTGGAATATTTACCATCGCATCGCACCCCTGCACGGGGATCAAACCTGAGGAGAAAACGCATGTAGACACCCGGGGTACCCGCTGTGAACCAAATGTCTTACACGGAGGTCACTCTGAAAGGGCAAAATCCTTTAATTCTTGTGAAGAAATAGGGAAAAAGTCAAATTATGGACGCTTGCCAGCCAGCATCAACCCGTATTCGCTGACGCAGTGGTCCACCTAGTTCGCAGACGCAGCTCTCACCACATGCTGATCACGGACAACAAGCTGCATTCACATTATACAATTGCGTAATCCACCTTTACTCATTTGTAGAGACGTTTTCGATTTTGAATAAAAATGAAGCAGGTTTCTAAGCTAGTGCCGTGCCCCCACTGGGCTAGGATGATATCCCTTTGCTTGGTTCCGTTTGTTTTTGGCGCGTTGGTGAGTGCCGCTGTTGAAGAACACAACGAGACTTCCCTCAATACAGGTGTGGATATCACATTCTACGAGGCGGGCAGTGCGCATCCGACACATGATCAAGCAGTTGCAAGGACCCACCTGCAATCTTTTCAGAAGGATAAAGATGGCTTCGGGGGGAAGAAAAAGCTCGCCAAGGCGTTGGCAGCAGCTCTTGGAATTTGTTTGGCTACCTTGCTGCTCTCACGATGGCTCAAAAGCAAAGGAATTGCTGGCTACGGCAAGTCTGTACATGAAGAGGGCCTTCCTGAAGAAGTGAGTACCACTGGTTGATATGGTCTGTTGCTATGATGGTAGCATTCTCGCAGAGAGTCGAGAGGCAGCATAACTGGTGAGCACCAAGGTCTTTTGAAATGCAAGTAAGGCAGGGCATTGTGTTAAGCACAATTAGGTATCGACTGCAATCCAATCGTACGTGAGGAACCAGACAGCAAGAAATCGCGAATATCGCCATGTGCTGGGGGTAAATTTGTGATCCAAGAGTGACACAGTCAAA